CCCCCCCCCGGTCCCCCCATGTCAAAAAAAGCCCGGTCTAGGTAGGGTTAAATCTTCTAATAAGGTTACTGCTCACAATGTGTATTGCCAACTTTCCTGCAAATTCTCACTTTGAATTATATTCTCAGCCCATGCTACTTGCAAGACTACATTGTATCTTGTGACCCTGCTTATACATGTAGGTGACTCATTCATGTAAATTGTACTATTAATATAGAGTTTTTTTTTAATGTAGCCTTGTAGCCACTATAATATGATGCAACATTCTTTTTCCTGAGTTCCAGAGTCTTACATATGTACATACCTGCAGTAACTGTTGTGCTGGGTGTAGAGTGGTCCGTAGGGTTGTCAGTACCAAGGTATATATCATCATCGTCTACATCTTCCTGAACCTATATGAATATACAATGTTATGTAAACATCATGATTTGTGTACATGTACATCTGATAGTGAGGTGTTCTTTTCTATACACATAAACTGCAAGTTAAACTTGGTGCATGCCTGCATGTGTCTTTGAATAGAAGGGCTGAAATTCAGTTTAATTCTTGGTGCAGTGTCTTGTGCCATGTTAGCAAAATACTTGTCAATGGCAGCGTGTTCTACTGTCACAGTGGCAAAATACTTCAAGAAAGAATGAAAGTCTGTCTCTAAAAATTTCCAAAGTGGTATGATTTGAAAAAAAAAACAACTTTTTACACTGATGTTTATACTATTGCTTGATTCACCATAGAAAGTGTAGCTACTTCCAGCCAGCACACTGTGGTATGGAATAACATTACAGCAAGCATGTGCACAATGTTACATGTATTTGATACAGTTACTTTTTTTGCATATAAGGTTCACTTGACAGCATGCAAACTCATGGAAACTACTGTAACACAACACCTTTAACAGGCCACAAATAATGATTGCAGAGTTAACATGGATGCAACACAACAATGTATGAAACAAGAGCCATTACTTAAAAGACTTAAACATATACATTTACTTCAAATACTTAGTGCAACAAAGCTTACACAGAGCCTGACATATCATAACCACAAAAGAAAGAAGACACTGTCCTATCCAAAGACAGCCTACACTGTGCACAAATAACTAGTCTCTTATTGGCACACTGCACATGTACAGCATACATGTACAGTACTACATAACACCATCACCTACATGTATTGCACAGGTTTACCCTGTTCCAACAGCTTTGGATTGTGGAATGACCAGCTGATTCACCATTTAATAAGGCTGTTGAAAAGAGCCCCATTTCAGCAACCATCATGGATCAGATAGACTGGACTAAATCACAGTAATCTAATACAAAATTATGCTTGCCAACAAAAATCAGGCATGAAATTCATAATGACAATGTACAAGTTAATATCATGCACCAGGAACATACTTAGTAGATGCCAGCACATGTTCTACATTGTACGATATTATTATAATATGTGTGCATTGTAACTTACAGAAGTATGAGAAAGATAATCATTCATGCACGTGTTGTGGGCAAATTTAAGGAACAATATCAGTTACCATGCAAGATGACAGACCATTAAATTAGGGTGTAGTTGTGTTGTAAACAAATTATAAGTTGATCCTAATGTTTTATCCAAAACATCCCCCCTGCCCTTGCTTCAATGTTAAAACATTCCTGAACTATTTGTAGTCATAATAAATGATGTGCTCACCAGCCACTCTGGTGGGTTGTGATCATCTGCCTGTTGGTCATCACCATGGTTGGCACTGTCTGGGGGTGTACATGTATCCTGGTCCTCATCAGCATGCATGTGATATACCTGCACATCATGTTCCAGTACTATCCCGGCTGTGTCGGTCTGTAGAGCAAAAATAGAAATAAAATTCCCTTAAAATTTAAATGCCACAGCAACTACACGTTGTTATATGTGATGGTGTGTACAGTAACTTCACTTGAAGTAAAGATCACATTAAGGGCAAATCACAATAAGAACAGATTTATATAACTATTACATGTTGCTCTTCAATGGTGCAGCAGCAAGAAAGAAGACTCTTCTTTCTGTGAAACCATGCTTATATATAATATTTAACTTGTAAAGCACATGCAACAGCCAAAACTACAAGAAAAAGCTCCCTGGAGCTACATTTTTATAAATCAAACAATCCCAAGCTGTCCTTATTTGAACAGGATCCTAAAATAGTATCCTTTACCAAAATCCACATGAAGTCAACAGTAAGTTAAACCTAAATGTACATACCTTACAGGACTTGACATCTGGAGGTTTCTCCTTGTGTATCCAAGATTTCAAAAAGGCATATAGTTGAACCAACAAGGCTATGAGGAATGATGTCTTCTGGCTCCAAGTCTGGATGCTGGCCTCTGGATTTTAGGGAAATAATAGCAATAATTCTGCAAGGTTATACCACATACCAGTATGTGTATAACTTGATTTCAAAATAAATGTGAATTACGGGATAATTTCATTAGGCACCTTTTCTTAAAACATCATGCAGTCATGTTGATGCTAAAACAAAGTATATGCTCCAAAGCTCCAATAAATTGATAAATTTCCATGTGTAATTTTAAAGACGAACACATAGGTACAGAAAGCACTCACTTTTGGGAGTCTTTGTGTTTGGTGGAGTTTCGTGGTGTCCTTGACTTGAAGATGAGTCCCCTCTTATCTGGACGAGAAAGCCTTGATTTCTGTTGGTTGACGCCTTTTGCTTCTCATCCCTCTTTTTGCTTGCTATGATCAACTTTGGTTTCTTGAGACATACTGACTGACTTCCCTTCTCTTCACGCATATCCTATTCCTCAAATTCTGCCTTGATAAGAGTCTCTTCTTCGGCTGTAGCATCATCTTGTCCCTCTGGCAAACTATTTTGCCTCAGAACTTTCTTGATGGCGGTGATGTCAACTTGATCTTCTTCGACAGCCTGGTCTGGTGGTAGCTGTTTAGGAGTAGGAGTGACTTTCTTGCGATGATCTTTCTTTTTGATGTTACCACTCTCCTTTTTCCTTCCCTTCTTCTGCCCTGCATCATGACAGTGATCTTTATTTGCGGGCTTGCTATGAGATTTCATCACCGGGCTGTTAGAAAGTATCTCAGCCTTGCCTTTGTCTTCCAGATGGCCCTCATTCACTGGGTTGTCATGCAGGACCCCATTGTTTGCCGGCTCATCTGTGCTTTTTGGAGCTGTCACCACCTTCTCTAAGTCTCCTGTGCTGTTGGGTGCTGTCCCCATCTGCACTGAGTCTTCTGTATTGCTTGGAGCTGTCACAACCTGCACTGAGTCGTCTGTACTGTTTGGAGCTGTCTCCATCTGCACTGAGTCGTCTGTACTGTTTGGAGCTGTCACCATCTGCACTGAGTCTCCTGTGCTGTTGGGTGCTGTCCCCATCGGCTCTGAGTCTTCTGTACTGTTGGGTGCTGTCACCACTTGCACTGAGTCATCTGCGCTGTTGGGTGCTGTCACTACCTGCTCTGACTCTGAGTTGTCTGTGCCTTTGAGAGCTATCAGAACCTGCATTAAGTCTTCTGTGCTGTTGGGTGCTGTCCCGATCTGAACTGAGTCTTCTGTGCTGTTTTGAGCTGTCACCACCTGCACTGACTCTGAATCTTCTGTGCTGTTTGGAGCTGTCACCATCTGGATTGGATTTTCTGTACTGCTGTGAGCTGTCACCATTTGCACTGAGTCTTCTGTACTGTTGGGTGCTGTCCCCATCTGGACTTGCTTTTCTGTGCTGTTGGGTGCTGTCCCCACTTGCACTGAGACTTCTGTGTCTTTTGGAGCTGTCACAACCTGCACTGTATCCTCTGTGCTGTTTGGAGCTGTCACCACCTGCACTGAGTCGCCTGTGCTGTTGGGTGCTGTCCCCACTTGCACTGGATCTTCTGTACCGTTGGGTGCTGTCCCCCTCTGCACTGGATTTTCTGTTTTGCTATCTTCACCCACCAGTAGGTTCTGGTGTGAACTGGAGGACACCGGCAGGTTAGTGTGTGCTTTTGTGGGATTTTTTGAACGTGGGGCACCCTTTCTCACATCAGACGTATTGGTTGCTGGTGTTTCAGGGGTATGGGCAGTTCCGGTAGCCATCAGAAGACTTTCACTAGCCTGTGATATTTCAAGGCGAGTGTCCAACAACATCTCATGCAAAGCTGTTGGATTTACCTCTACCGAGTGAAGAACCAAGTCGTTTCTTGCTTGACATAGTGTCTTTTCCAGGCTGCGTATGATGGACAGTAGGGCAATGCGGCTGTTTTTCAGACTAGTCAGATCTGCTTCAGCACCAGGCATATCTGTATCAGGGACAGCACGACTTGTACTTGAACAAGACAACGGGGGCTGAGACTCTTGTTGGGGTTTCTTGGTATCTGCCTCTCCTGCAACCTCACCATCGTGTGTGGTGGGGGGCTTAACAGGTACGGCACTGGAGGTGACATGCTGTAAACAAGTATGAGAATAGATACAAACACATGCATCAATATATACGCAATCATATATTTATTCATGTCATGCATATTTCACATAAATGTGCATAATAATTGACTACTATTGCACACATGAAGCAAGGGGCTCATTATTAATAGCCCATTATATAAAATAAAGTACTTCAATTTGAAACTTAAACTTCATATATTGTTTCTTTGACCTATTAGGTCTTTTTACAATTAACGATAATGTCATGTAGTCAGGCAGACTCAGACCTGTAAATTTAACCTCTGAAATATACTGTAAGTCATCTGGCATGCATGACCAAAGTCCGTAAAGCACTTGAAGGAGACATTAAATTATTTGAACTTCTTACCTCATTGACTAATACTCTTGGTCCAATCACTGGAAATGAGCGAGTGTTGTCTTCATCCTGCAACGTCAAAAAATGTGTAACACTAAATCATGAAGAAAGTTTGAACTGTAGTTTCTAACAGAGGACTCAACCAAATTTGTGACTGTACAACTCCAGTCTTTGTCAAGAAATGAGTAATACACTGCTTTGTTATGTCATGTTATGCAGGTTGCAGAAAGTTTGTGGGCATCTTTCTAAATTTTGAAATGAAACAATGACCTATAACCCAGCAAGAATAATATTGACATTTTACTGAGATGTTATATATTAAGCCTTTGTGTAGTGGTGCATACCGGTTCACTGGACTTGGATCCGGACTTGTAAGAATGTTTAGGTTCAAGTCCAAAAAAACCTAAAAGTCAAGAACTGAGTCCGGACTTATTAGCATAAAAGACCATTTCACAAACCCCTTTTCTTTCCAAACCACCTAATACCTTCGCTGCAAAATGAAGAAAACATTGCCATCATGCATCGTCAAGTGTCGGCCTCCATGTTATGTGGCCAAAGTTTCACCCAGACAACATTGCAAGGTTTCCCAACATGCAATTTTGTACATGCCATGGATTTAGGTCCGGACTTACAAGTCCGGAACTGAACCTAAACCTCTGGACTTGAATCCGGACCTGAACCTAAATGTGGGTTTAGGTATGCAGCACTACCTTTGTGTGTCTAAAATAAGTGTCATTGTATAAAATAACGTAATCACAAACCTTTCTAGGTTGCTCAGTTGGCACATCTTGCTCACCGCTCCCAGAAAGTTCAGCAGAGCTCTGTTTCTCCTTCGCCCCTTCACTATCACACAGCTCTGCTCCACCTGTAGCTCCATTCTCAGTCTGTTCCTTCCATGTCTGCCTACAGGCAGGACTTGTCTGATCAAGGCTGTCTGGGTAGTAGCCAGAGTCCGACTGGCCACTGGGTCCTCCTACCTGATGGTCTTTGCCGGGGCTTGAGCCTTGCTGGCTGACCACAGGTAAATCCTGGGCCCTCTCTGCCATCACTGCTGCCCCCTGACATACAAGAATGACTTTGAGTGAAACATTTTCTGCCCACCTTGAGTAAGCATCACACAGTGTGGAACAAGTCCTTCTTTTTTCCAGACAAGTACAACTTGCCACTATTTACTCATGCTAATTTATTTGTCTTTGACAATGTATGGCATGAAAGGTTGTCCAAATTTCATTTACTGAGCAGGCACTTGGTTGTGACAGCTATACAATGTTTTTTAAACTGGGAAAAACAGCAATTTAATGATTAATTTCAATCACAGTAACTGTTACAGTTATAAATCAAGTTTCCAAAAGACAAATATTTTGTAAGATTGTTTAGTAAACTACAAGAATTTCCAACCCTTCTTCAGAAGCCAGAATGGCTCCAGTCAAAATATAAGGACAATCATTCTCAAATAACAGTGTTTAACATATCCACACAATTAGCAGCACTACTAACATGTAATCCAACATGCAGAGTCTACTCGTAGATGACCTACATTTCATGTAACATTAGCTTCCCTGAAGCCAGAGTCTAGCACTATGTACCACAACGCCATGTAGAAACTCCCATTTATATGTACCGGGTACTACAGGCTACACACAATGTATGACGGTCAACAGTTTACTGGATATGGTGAGTGTCAATAATTTGACATGACCTAAATTCCTTCAGAAGGTTGTTTACGACACCCTGCTTACAATTAGAGTGATCATTCTTACCTGTCAACCTCAGGGTAAAGTTTGGGAACTCTCAATGGCTGTCTTTTGTTGGCTAACGGATCACGAATGTCAGAAGTACACTGTAGTGTAAGAAAAATAAAGTTAGTGGACTTGTCAGTATCATCTTCTTCCATAAGAATAGTCACCAACAAATCATGTAGCTATGCAAACTTCAAGAATACTGGTAAAATGTCTCATAAGATGATTAAATGTACAAGAAAGAATAAGACCCACCATTTATTGTGCTTCTGCCAGTCAAAATGGCCGCTGCAGGTGCCCGGATGTAGTGACGTAGCATTGTATCATTACGTCACCGCGGCGGGTTCTTTCAATCGTGCTTAAATCATGACAACTCAGTGTGGATGTAAACAGCTGGTATGTTTCACTCTACCATTACAAACTAATATATCACACAAAACAAGACAGCTGCAATGTTGACAAAACAATGTTACATGTTTAGTATAAAAAATTAATTTTGTAAATGACTTCTAAAAATAAAAGCCAGTCTGGGGCTTTTAATGGACTAAGAAGTCAGTTTAAATCACTTTGTGTAACAAACATGTTTTGACACCTTATCTTTAGACCTTTGAGTTTGATAGGCGAGGAAAACCCTATGGGAATAATTAACCACAAGGACAGGTCCTACTTTGACACAAGTGCCTGCAGGGCATTAGGGAATCATTTATTAACCATGACGTCTTGATACAAAGAGGTCAGGGGCCTTTAAGTGGGCCATAGACACCATCAATCATGTTTTGAAGACTACCCAAGCATGTACTCTAAGTCTATTGTATGTGTCACCTACAGACAAACATAGTTATCTGATCAGTGTCTGTAGTGTTTAGCCAGTGAAAACAACTTTCAGCATTCAACACTACACCTGTCTTGTACTAGGCACGGTATGGCAGCTAGCTATATTACATCAAGCCACCTGTTAGTTTATGTACCAGCTTACAGATGTTTCTCAACCTTCTCCCTGCTATCATACCCCATAGCCAATAAAGAATTGGTAGCCAAACGGCTACTACTGTTAACAGTAGTGTATTATAAATCTATCTACTTGTGTATGCCCCTACCGTACATGGTGACCTGACGAGCTCCAGAACTTTGAAGTTAACCAACATCATCCCCATCACTTGCTCAAGCTGTTTGGTCAGGTTTGAAGTCTTAGTCGTCCATGGATCTTGACCATGACCACAGACATTTTGTGTTCTTGAACTTCAGGACCCCACATCTTCCTTCTGTGCCTGGTGTTGTCGTACGTCTGCAGCATGTTGAAGTCCTGCATGCACCAGAATGACAAAATAAGGAACACTCTAGAAAAGAAGACCAAATACACAAACAGGACATATGATGGGAACTTGAAGGTTATCAAAGCAGACTCTTTCGGGTTTCCATAATTCGTTTTTGTTACATCTCCTAACTTACCGGTAAATCTAGCCAAATTGTTTCTTGAAGTACTAAGGTCTTGTAGTAGACCGCCATTAATCATACTTTGTGATAAACTTTAAAAAGTTTGTGGCACCAGTAAGACTTTCATTACAACGAAAATAACAGTACCATTGCTGTTGGCGTTTAACATACAGCATAGGGTTATATTTAACACACCTTGCATTGGTTTTCAGTGTGTCAAAGTGGTCAAACTTAGTCGCCATGCCACCACACCACAGACATGCCTCTCTCAACTTTTGCCCAACAAAAGTACACTAGCAGGCTTACCCAAGCTTCAGAACTGTGTCTAGAGCTGGTGAGGAGTCTGACACACAGGAAACAGGGAGAACGAAGACGGCCGAAGACAACGAACGGCTGAAACTGTTAGTTTTCCAGAAGTTCATTTCCTTTAATTAATTAGACTATAGCAAGGAGGTTTGATACTAACCATCACATTTGTACAAGATGAAAAGAATGATAAACAAATTGCTTACATGCAGCTAACAAAACTCACCCATGGTACAATAATAACTCCGAGATACAGAATATACATTTACTTGTAAACTGTGCAAGGCCAGGAGACTACTCCATATTATTGTACTGCCAGATTACCTCTAACTTTTCTCCCAGCATCAATGTCTTCTTCCCAACTTCAGTTTGCTTTCCATCGCATACGTACTGAAATAACTTGATGCTGCTTGAGATCACCACCTTTAAAAGTAAACTACTACTAGTAGGTAGAAAGGTATTTGTAGGTATTTTTCTTTGTTCCACAGGATTACAAGGTTATTTTTTATTACACTGTCTAATTATATTTGTGTCTGCTATGTTGTTTTATTTACCAGGTAGGATAATACAATTGTGTAGGTGTTGAATTGTCACCAGTGATGCTAGGAAAAAATACAATCAGTCCTTATTATTTATATATTAAAAGTATAACAAGCCATTGTACATGTTTTGCTTAAGATTATTCAATAACATTGTGTATTGTTCATATAGCACCTAATAGGCTTTTACATATAGCAGGTGAGATTGTCACTAAGACAGTTAGTCTTGATACATGTACAGTGTATTTGTATTGTGTTGAATTGTCACTAGTGAGGCTGTGCCATGACTTGTTCGTACACCCTCCTGGCTGGGTCTGTTACCCCACTGGGGACTGGTGCAAACACAGGCAGCCTGTTCCTGTCAGTCTGCTGGGCCATGTTGTAGTGGTGCAGGATTCTGTCCCTGTGGACAGATGGGTCCTGCTGGCTGTACAGGGTAACCAGGTGGTAATGAGCTATGGGCACCCCGCGATGGTCTGTAGGAGCTGTGTGGATGAAGTGGTGAAACTGCCTGATGGCCTGTGGGACAGACACATCCATGGAACACCTTGCTGTTAAGTACAGGGTTAGCAGGTGGTTAGATTTGTGCATAACGGCACTGGCACAGGCAGATAGGGCTGGGGCTGGTTGTTTGGTGGTCTGAAATATTGTATAGCCTAAAGCACAGTACATGTCAGCCAGATGTTTGTACATGGGGTCTGTTTCTCCATGCTGTAGAACAACGTCGATCACATGGTTTATGGCCTGCAGTCGGCTGTGTCCATAGGGAAGCTGCAGTGCCTGTATGAGCAGACAGGGGGAGCTGTCAGGGTTAGCCTGGAGCTGTGTGGAAGTGAGCTGATTTAACTTGAGTCTGTCCAGGTGCAGCAAGGACTGGTGATACAGGAATGTATTAACATCATCAGGTGACACCCCTTCCATCAGTATGAACCCCTCCAGCAGGTGCTCCACCCCCTCCCCCTCCTGGTACCCCCCGCTGGTCAGCATGGCTGCCCCCCTCTCCAGGCAGCTGTAGGCCTTGAGCCATGTCTGTGCAGTTGGTGAGTCCTTGTGCTGCAGTAGCCTGGCTCTCATCTAGCATCACGCAATGCAAAGAACTAGCGCGCCAATATTACCAGTATCATCACTGGATTTTTGGAGGAGAACGAACAAGATATGTTTGGATGAATTGCAGGTGATCGGGTCCCAAGTGAGATGCTACATTGTATATCTAAGATTTGATTGATGGCTTGTATGCGGCATGGTTAGCGGTAATTTTGAGCACCTGTATTGACTAAGATTAATTCTTGGATCACAAAAGACGGTGAATAGAAATTCCTGCACATTGAACCTACATGTACAATATGTGACGTCCTATAGCCAGTGCGTTATTCGGTGATCCATTCTTATTTATGATCACCTGTCTTGTATGTATTCAATTTTACTATAGACTGGACGTCTTTAATACAATAGGACATATAACTTACGTGCAGGCTAGGACATATTGTGTATTGTATAAAACCGCAAAAAAAATCTTTAGGACTGGCAGAGTTTGTATGCGTACTAAGATTTGATTAGGACACGCAGTGATGACAATTGTTCTGCTGACTGTCGGCGTTGCTGAAGAATGGCGAATTGACTTGACATGTTTAGGTTAGCTCGGGTCACCTTGGTCGTCTTGGGATTGGTTTGTTTTGTGTGGATCTGAGCCCCTGGGATTTCTCTAATCTTACTGTGGCATCGATTCCGACAGGTGAGATATTCCTTACATCTTTTACGTTGAAATCTTATATAGACAAACGTAGTTGTAACCTCCTATCTCCAACTATGGATTGTGCATGTGGAACTTTCAGTTGAAATTGGAAGTAAACGTTATTTTATGAATATACGAATGTAGAATCCTTGTTTACAGTTTTGCTGGTTTCGATATATTCTTTCCCATCTTACCACTCCTGTGTTCCACCTTACCTCACAGCACATTTTCTGAGTCAACGTCTACAAAATATCACATCTTATTCATTAGCATGTAACGTTATGAAAGCATTGACACTGGATTTTTCTTCCAAATAACACTCAATCCTATAAGAGGTACACTGTGGTATATATACATGTCGGAGGGGGGGGGGGTCATATATAAGTTCTGTCTGAGAAACAAAACAGGCCTTTCTCATGGTATTTACACAGACCAGATTTTATTTTGCGTACATGTATACGAGTTCTTTACAAAAGAGTATTGTTCGTGTTCAATTAAGTACGTACCAAGGCAGCTGTCAAGATCTGTCCACGTGAATACGTTTATCTATAAATCACTTTGAAATATCACCTTGAATTCGAACTGATGTCTATTCATGTCAACATCTATCTACGTTTACAACGAAGATGTAGTCAACTTCAACTTCGTCTTGTTTTATTTCAATAAAATGGCAGCCATGGATCTAATATACAGAGATAGAAAACTGGAACAGTGCCAAGGCCGACAGTCTGAAGAGAGGCGAGGGTGATCCTGCCATCGCTTGTACACAGGATCGGTTTCCGATGGTTACGCTGGAGCTCGAGGTGGATTGCTTGTGTACGGGTGGAACGCCATGCATCGAGGGATGCCAGCGTCGGATTCTGCCGGCGCAGTTCTGGGAGTGAACGCAAGTTCTGTGTAAGATTAATCTCGTCTATATGTTCGTTGTGGTAAAATATGTTTGTGTGTTTATGTCTGCAGTTTCTCTATACTTTGGCAGGGGGAAGAAAATTTGTCTTCTCCAGTGAAAATCTGTCTTCTCCTATCTTCAAGTTGTTAGTAACAGAGGCACAACTAAACAGCATACAGAAGATGTTCTTATTCATTACAGGTGTGGCGATGGAAAAAGGAATGCGTCTTGTGCAACTACCTCTCCGCTGACGTCCAGTAAGTTTATCGTCAGCAAATATGAATAACATGCACAGAAATCTAGTAGTATGTAAAAACACCGGACATTAAAAAAAAACATGGAGCCAGGGACATTGAACGCAATGTTCACTCCACAAGCGCATTGTACATGTATGAACAATATAGCCTGGAGTCCAGCCTTGTTAGCTTTGGTCCGCTCCCCAAGATCCGCTACCCAGCTGGGGAGCGGACCAGAGCTAACAAGGCTGGACTCCAGGCTATGAACAATACACACGCACCAAACTTATATAGCGACATATAGCGACATCTAACCAAGCTATATCCCTACCGTGTGTCTAGATACGTCGCCCCCAGACTCCTCCGGTGCTGACATCAGGGGGATCTTTCTGACAGCCTCCGGTGTTGTCGTGCTGCTCATCCTACTGTTAGTGGCGAAACAGTTCTGTGGGAAGAGGGCCTTGATGGGCCGAACGTTCTGGTAGGGAAATATTAGCCTCTACATGGCTTCAGAGGCGGCCAGAAAGAGTAGAAAATGCAACAATAGACAGATGATATGCAGGGAGAGTTAGTCCGCTTAATGAGTACAATTTGCATTTGCTACTTCCTCGATCGGAGAGTAGACCAACCGCTTCTGAAAGCTGGTAGAGTTACGATTTGATGGCTAGTTCAGCACCAAAGACATCAACTACGCTACTCATGCAGAAAAAGAAATCCAATGCTTATCGCAATCATTCCTGTTTGACTCTTAGAAGCAAAACAAAGGCATACGACTGGCAATACCCTTTTGGCAAGAATTTTCAGATCAAGTTTTTTTTCTATCTGTTTACATATATTGGCTAGCAATTCAAGTCTTTTAACTCTGTTAAAGAGAATTCTGAAGAAATAGAAAAGTTCGTCACATGCACAAAACTCTCGTTGTTCTGAAACATCACTATGTCAAGAGCGTGTTATAAGGACCTTCTAGTAATTTGATATATTACGACACCACCACTATTACATTGACCAATGCTAGCCATGTTAAATTCTGCCTTTTTTGAATGTTCATAGGTTCTACGGAGTGCCGCAGCCCACACCAAGTCTGTTCGGTCCTAGACTACAACGTCCACTGCTACAGATATACCGTCTTCACAAGCTGCCTAAGACACAACGTCTTAACTCCAAACAGCGGGGACATTCATTAACCCTACCTAGACCGGGGGGGGGGGCTAAAAGTGCCCGCGGCAACTTTGATGTCACCTAGCATCTGAACGGCTAGTCGTAGAACGGCCAAACTTGGTGACTTTTCCTAGAATATTGTTGGCAACAATTCTCTATCATTGGATTAAGATAATAATTTTTTGTGTTGCCATGGCAACGGGTTTCTGACAGGCATTTTTTGCTAAATTTAGTACTTTTTGTTTCAACAATAGAATTTTATGGGTTTTATGTCAAGTTACTCATGGTTTCTAATATTAATAACACCCCATATAATTTTATGTAAATTTTATCATTAAATATGCATAATTTATGCTAATTTGATGACGGCATTGGCCAAAATCCAAGATGGCGGACCATATCATTAGAACAGGTATATACAGGTTATTTTCATTAAAATTTCATCAAAACTTCCATTTCTTTTTCCAAAAAAGGTTTAAATGAAGGCCTTTAGTATGTCTACGATGTATTTTAGGCTTTATCATGAAAAAAAACTATTTTTGAAAATTCAAGATTGATGATCCAAGATGGCGGATATCTTAAATATGTATGACGTCATGTTATGACGTCACCGGTGTTGCTATGGGCAACATAAGACTTAGTACACCATAATATTCTGTCATAAACACTTTTGGTACAGTTATGTTGGATACCTTTTTCAAACGGAGAAAGACCATAATACTGGGTAACTGTGGACTATTTTAATTTCCTTTAGATTGAACGATTATTTTGTTATCAGCCTGGAACCCATAATTTCTCAGTCAACAACCTACCCGAACTTCACTACGGCCCGTGTCTATATGCACGGGGCGTATGCACGGGGCCGTATGTACTGAGTTCCTGAACATTTAGAAGTCATAGATTATGTTTAACTCGAGACAGATAAAACCTTTTTCAAACGGAGAAAGACCATAATACTGGGTAACTGTGGACTATTTTAGTTTTCCTTTAGATTGAACGATTCTTTCGTTATCAGCCTGTAACCTATATTGAACGATTCTTTCGTTATCAGCCAGGAACCCATAAAAATTTCTTAGTCAACAACCTACCCGAAGTTTACTACGGTCCGTGTCAATACCTACGGAGCTGTTTCTACTGTAGACTATTTCTGTTTGTTTATATACGTTGCTTTCCGAAAGCATGCGGTTTCTTTCCTTCTTCTATAAAAGCTTTCCGCCAACTTTCCCCCTTTCTTGTATGATTTGTTAAGTTACTTTCTTTTTTTGCCGCCCCAAAGTTTTCTTCTTTATAAATGCCGAGTATTCTTTGTAGCAAGAGTTCAACGGTTAAAATATTATGAATGCACAGGCATTACTAGTATTTCTAGTGTCTTTAGCCTATTTGTTGTGTTCAGACAACGAGGTTCCTTTTTGTTTTCCAAATGTAAATTTATTCATTACCAACCCGTGAACAATCCCGAACGCCATTCATATTTTTTTTTTTTTTTCATTTTTTTTTTATTCGTTTAACTAAGAGATGTACATACAGTAAATAGGAAACAGTGTGGCAAGCCCCTTAATACAAATATACTAATACACAGAATACATATTTGTGCTGTAACATTTTACGAAGAATGTTTGTCTCGAAAATCATGAAAATAATGCATTACAAAAATGGGGTTTCTTATTCAATGCTGTACTCTTATAGATGTCATATTTTGCAGAAAGTAAACAGTGGTTCAGGTATCTATTTTTTTCCATCTTGTCGATTATACCATACAATATAACAATTCTTGTTAGTGCGATATGTTCAGAACAAGTGTCGAGCCACCATAGGCGAAAGTCATTCCAAAATTTAGTAACATAACTACAATCCACAAATAAGTGACTTAGATCTTGTTTACTATCGCAAAAAGGACATTTGTCCGAGTCTTTAACTCTAATTTTCTTTAAATAACAATTTGTCGGCAAAAATCTGTGTATTATCTTATACTGAAAATACTGTAATTTAACATTCTTAGTACATATGAAAGGTAGTAAATACACATTTTTTAAGTTGTTTTCATGTTCAAAAGTTTTTA